GACCAATAAGTATACTAATCATGATAAATGGAGAAATGATTAAAGTTGTCAAAGATTTCATTTTGCTTGGATCCATAATCAATACTCATGGAAGGAGCAAACAAGAAATCAAAAGACGTATTACATCAGGTACATATGCTGCAAAAGACCTCTTCAAAGTGTTCAAGGCCAAAGATAACAATTGGAGGAGTATTTGAGGCCTGACTAAAGCCATGGTATTTCCAGTGGCCTAATAATACATGTGAAAGTTAGTGAATTAGGAAGACTGGGGAAGACTCAGAGCATTGTGATTATGTTGTTGGAGAAATATAAAAGTAGCATGGACTGTCAAAAGAACAAAAAAGTCTCTCTAGGAAAAAGTGCAGCTAGGATGCTGTTTAGAAGTGAGGATGGTGAGACTTAATCTCATATGCTTCATACATGTTATCAGGAGGGACCAGTTTCTGGAGAAGGATATCATGCATATAAAGTGGTGGGTCAAGAAGATGAAGAACGCCCATAGGGTGGATTGGCACAGTGACAGAAAGAGTTGGCTCCAACATTACCACAGTTGACAGGCTGTTCCCACACTGGGGACTGTGTTTAGGGCCACTCTGTCTGAGCACCATCTCTTTGCTGGTGTATTTCTTATTTTTCTTGTGAGGGGGAGCTTCAAAAAAGTTCATGAAAGAATACCAATATCTTTTCGTTCCATTTTTTTCCATGAACTTTTTGAACCACCCATGACATATAGGCATTATTTGCTAATCAGCCTTTTAATTTTTATGAATTACACTTCCCTATGGATCTAATTAGGAGCTATGGTAGCGTAGTGGTTATGAATCGGGCTGCGAGCCGCAAGGTCAGCAGTTCAAAACTACCAGCGGTTCCGTGGGAGAAAGATGAGGCGGTGTGCTCCCGTAAAGATTTACAGCCTCAGAAACCCTGTATAGGGTCGCTGTGAGTCGGAACCAACTCCATGGCACATAACAACAACAACAACATGTATCTAATTAAGGAGCTCTGGTAGCGTAGTGGTTATGAATTGGACTGCTAACCTCAAGGTCGGCAGTTCAAAACTACCTGCTGTTCTGCGGGAGAAAGATGAGGCTTTCTGTTCCCATAAAGGTTTACAGCAAGCGCCACACTAGGGTTCCTTATTGGTAATGTTAGATACAGATGAAAATATTGATACTGTTATTTTTTTAAGAAGAAATTTATAGATAAAAGTACAGAATTACTAGACACAAATGCATACCTTTAGTTCAAGAATTATGATCATTTCTAAAAAAATAAGTCCCTTGTTAATATAACAGCAAAATGTGGTTTTGTAGCAGGACAAAACACTGAACAAGAATAGCTAACACTCAATGAGTATTTACGATCTAAACTTGGTTTTAAAGCTTTTACATAGTTTGCCTCGTTTATCCCTCATGAGCCCCTTTTAGATAGATATTGCTAGTATTTTGCAAGTAAGGAAGACGCAGCACGGAGAGGTTACATAGCTCATGGAACACTGCAGAGTTGGTGCATAGTGAAACCTAGATTTGAATTCACCAGTGTGATTACAGCTCTCTGGCCTTTACAGTCTTTGAAGAATGCTTTAAAACCGAGCATCTTTGCAGATCCTATTTGAACAAGTATAAATACAGCATTTAAGGAAAATTCCTCAAGTATCCAGGACACTGGTGTGGAGGAATTTGGGTCATGTGACACGGGGCCTGTAATCTGGGAGGGCTGCCACCAGGTGGTACCAGAACCAGCGTGTGTTGTCTAGCTGAGGCAGCAGGGTGGCCAAGTGAGTCTTCTTGTCATTGGTCTGAAAGCAGGACTCTTCGGTAGTGTTGACCTGACACCCTGATTGTGTGTGCCGTGTTGTTGTTGAATCATCAGTAAAGAAGAAATGAATTTAGAAATACAGAGTAAGTAACAGAATTAAGGACTCCTGGTGTGGCGCTGTAGGATCAGCACTGGACTGCGTACCACACGGTCGACAGTTCATATTCACCAGTTGTTCCTTGGAAACCCTATACAGGGTCGCTGTGAATCAGAACTCACTCGCTGGCACTTAACAACAACACCATCAGAATTGAAGTATCAGGTGGGAGGAGCATTAGAGGAAACCCAGGTATCAGGTGGGAGGAGCATTAGAGGAAGCTCTGCCTTCCTGAGAAAGCCTTTAAAGGGGTGGCAGGGATGGGGTGGGGTGAAGGGTGATTTCCAGGAGTAGGGTGAAAGTGCAGTCAGGTACGGGGTCATTGACCCAAGAGGATGGGCCCGGCAGTTTGTGTTGGAGGAACAGCCCTTAGCAGAAGCCTGTCGGGGGCTGACTAGCTGGGAAGGCGGCTGCTGGTGGGGTTGACCGGGACTATAGGTGATGCAGGATCACCTGCTCCCTTACCAAGTGGAATGAGGCAGGGCAGGAACACGCAGGTCTCCCCACAGATTCCACTACTCTCAGCCCACCCCCGGCTGTTTCTTGGGCAAGCCTAGGTCCCTGGAAGTCGTGGGCTTTCTTTTATCAGACGTGACGTCCCTACCACAGTCACAGCAGCTTCAGGCTCCAAAGACATTTCTCACGGCAGCCTCAGTCAGTCCTCACACCTAGAAGAGCAGAGGCAGGACTGGGTGGGCAGGAAGTGGACCCTGCTGACAGGAAGTGTCAGCAGACTTTAGAAGGTGGGGGCCAAGTCTTATAACGATGCTCATTTATAAAGTTTGGAAAATGCCGAAACCCAGAGAAAAAGCATCTTCTTTTCACTGGGTAAAAAGGATTTTGATAAATGGTAAGAGAGAGCCTCTGAGCACAGGCAGGAGGGATGATTGAAGCAGCTGACCTGAGGAGGGGCTGGGATGATGCAGGCCTTCAGTGCTGAGCTCAAGCGAGAGGAGAGGGCTGTGAGAGAGTCCCACGCCAGGGGGTTCCTGGAGTTGAGTTCCCAGGGGTGCACCCCGCTGTTGGATGTGGTGGCAACAGTGAGTATGGAGGTGAAATGTAGAGCTCACCCCAGCCTAGGCTGAGCACCCATCACGTAGGGAGCCCCGGTCCCCCTTGGAGGACCTCCCATATGGTGGAGGGCAAAGGGGTGTGGGCAGCTGAAGCTCCCCAGGGGAGGGTCCAAGCACTCACACCTGGCTGTGGGGTCACCGGTAGAGGAGGGGAGGTGTTGCCATAGAGATTTGGAGGAAAGTTTTGCTTTTACTCTCGCAGTTTACATCTTTAGACAGAAAGCCAGAGGCATGACTCTGCAGAGGGTGCCCAGCAGCGTCTGGGAGGGTAGGTTGTTGGAGAGCAGGCTGGTCCAGGTCACTGAGGACCTGTCCTTAGGGAGATGCTGAGGTTGTTTCCCACCTTGAGACCTGACCTTCTTGCTTTGGACTCCCCGCCGGTGCCTTGCTCCTTCAAGTGGTGAGCAGCTGGGCAGCAGTGTCGGGCGCCTACAACCTGTGGATTGGTGTGGGGTTCACATGGTCAGATGATGGCTTTGACTCTCTTTTACCCACTGTTTCTTATACTTGTCACTAGCTGTTCTAAAGTCACTGTAGTCTCTGATGCTTCAGTTTTAAAAACAAAACAAAGCAATAACAGACAAAACAGGACATTTGGTTCTCGTAGCAGCCCACAGATATGGAAGGGAGGTGTCAGCAGATGCCTCAGCAGGACTGGGACGCTGGCCAAGCAAAAGCTCTGCAGAGCGTCTGCCGGGCTGGGCCTGTCTGGACTTCCTGGACCTCTGGCCCCCGTTAGTGGCAGGGGTCTGGGAGCTGGGCGCTTTCCCTACTCAGCAGTCCTGGGGAAGATCTGATGACTTTTATGCCAGGCTGTCCCCATGGAGACAGGGCCCTGGCTGTTGCAGCGTCACTCAGAGAAGCTCCTGTTGTTTTTCCTTCCGTATATTTAGAACCTGCCCGGGCTCACTGGGAGTGGGGGTGGGGGCTGCTATGAGGCCTACTGCGTAATCTGCATGCCGGCTACTGACTAATTTTCTTACTCCCACCCTTGTGTGGATGCACTGATTTTCACTCCCCCACCTCCGTGCCCTTACCTTGCTCTCTGCCCCCACCATCCTCAGTTACAGGCAGCTCTCCTCTGTGTCCCAGCTGCAGCAGTGGTAGTGGCCTCCCAGCTTGGGGAGCCTTGATGGACGCTGGGCAGGTGGGGCTTTCAGAGCCACCTGCATGTGGCAGGAGCCAAGCAGTAAGTGAAGGAGGGTTATTTTTACATACCATCAACTAGAAATAGCCAGCTTTGCGTAAATTCAGAGAATTTAAAAGCACCCAACAACTTGCTAGGACTTTTTTAGGAGGGATTTAGGGCGTCTTTTAGAGTGACTCGCCCGCCAGCCTCTGTCAGTACATGCTGTGGAGGACATTTGAGGTGGACAGGGAGCTGGGCTGCTGTGGGTGGGCTACACTGCAGGCCCCGCTGCTCATTGTGATTCTGGCAGGGCCTCTATCCTGTCAGGTGGGGGCAACAGAGACCACAGCTAGACCTCCACCTGCCCAATTTGACAAGGACACTCTCCCCCTTGAGGAGGGTTGACCCCCTGTCATGTACCACAAGCTTTGTTGTCTGTGGTGGCTCTGGCCCTAGGGTCGACATTAAGAACCAGCTTATATCGGCTCCATAATTGTGTTATTAGAAATAGCGGTTTTCCCGAGTGCCCTACTGGTCCGTGTTCTTTCTCTCTTCAAGTAACTGTGTCTTCTCTTGCTCAACCCTTTTGGGTGGGTTTTCATGGGGCTGCGTAATCTCTAGTCCAGCCCTGTGATTGGTATGTCAAGGGTCCGCAATATTGGACTTGAGTCGTATGTGTGTTGGGTATAGGGAGTGTCTGCCCTTTTCCCGACTCAGCGCCCTGTGAGTGATCCCCATAGGGAGAAGGACACCCCAAAGCGAGGAAGAATGTTGTTATGAATGTTTAAACTTCATGAGAGTGCTGTGGATTGGCCTGTGCTGTGTTGCTCTTGTCCTGTGTGTTTTGATGAGTTAGCAACGCAGGTCTCTTGTTGCTTCCCAGGAGACAGGAACAGTTCCAGAGAAACCCGGACAGTTACAACGGTGCCGTCCGTGAGAACTACATCTGGTCGCAAGACTACGTGGACCTGGAAGTTAAGGTGCCTGTGCCCGAGCACATCGTGAAAGGGAAGCAGGTAACACCCGCC